TGTGATTCTGGATAGACTCTGTCTGCAAGCACCTGGAGCCTCTTCAGCACAACACGGGCAAGCAGCTTCCCTACAACGCTGAGAAGAGAGATGCCACGCTAGTTATTGCAGTCGCCCCTGTCTCCTTTGTTCTTGTACAATGTGACAATGTTTTTATCCTTCATGTCCTGTGCTACTCCACCTTCTCTCCAGCAAAGACAAAAGATTTCATACAGCTCGGTGGTGATGATCTCTTTACAGCACTTCAGCAGGGAAGTTGTCCTTCCCAGGTGCCTTGCTGGAGGTGAGGGAATCCGCTTTTATTTCTGCTAAAGTTGGTTCACTGTCCAGCTCTTTCAAGACAGGCAGGCACTCGATGTTATTTAATGCCTCTTCCGTTACTACATTCTCTCTAGAATATAGCTCAAGAGTAGTGCTGTACCCAGCGTTTCATCTGCTGTGCTCAGTCCTGGATGAGCACACCTGTAGCAGACTTCAAGGGAGCAGATTTCTTCTGTATAGGACCTAAGGCCTGCTTGATACCGTCATACATTCCCTTGATGTTACCTGTGTCCGTTGCTATCTGTATCTGAGAGCAGGGCTGATGCCAATAATTGTTGGAACATCTCCTGGCAGCCTGTTGGACTTGGCTACGAGCAGCTCGAAGAGCCTGCAAGTTGTGCTCACTAGGACAGGCTTTGTATGCTGCTAGAGCTCTCCTCTTATCCTCGATGGCTGGAATCAACTCCTCCGAATGGGCCTTGAACCAGTCTTTTTGGTCTTCTTGCCAAAGGTGGACAAGGCAGTGTTATAAACAGCATTCTTGAAGTGTTCCCATCGTTTAGGTGCATTTACATTAGCCGGACCTGGGAGGGCTTCCTCGAGTGCTTGGGCGAATTCCTTTGATCACGAGTCTTGCTGATGTCAATACGTGGTCTTCCTTCCTTTTTCGTGTGATATACTCTCTTTGTTCGCAGTTTTATTCTGCTACACACCAGGGAGTGATCAGTATCACAATCAGCACTCTGGTAACTGCGTGTGATCGTAATACTAGGAAGGCTAGAACGTCTAGTGAGGATCAAATGGAGCTGATGCCAATGCTTCGATCTTGGATGTCTCCAAGAGACTGTGTTGAGGTCTCTTAAATTACAGTATATAGAGGAGAAATAAGGCATAGTCAATTCGCCGAAAGCTGGAAGCCTTTATTAAAATATGCCAATAAAATAAATGTGGAGACACATGGTTCAGAAAACAATTTGGAGCATTTAGATTGTTGATTGATATTTCTTTAAGATGAAATGGGAATGGTGTCAATGTGACTTTGTGAAATGCGGAGAATAGCAGGTGGTCAACAATTAAATTACATAATAAGTAAGATGATAGATTACTATGTTAAACCTTGTATTTATTACTTGTAACATGATGGATTGTGAAAATAATTATTAAAAAAGTTTTTTTGTTGTTTAAGCAGGTTTTCTATCAATCTTGGTTGGAATGGCGTAGGGCTCTCGTTTTGGAGGAGAGAGTCCTCTCTCTCTCTCTCTCTCTCTCTCTCTCACTACAGCACAAAGATAAATGGTGGACCTGGAGGAGCAGCTGTGCACCATTGGCAGAGCAGGATGGCACCATTCCAGTTAGAGAAAGAGAGAGAGAGAGACAGCCTTGAGGCGGTTCTTTTTGTCTTGACTCAACCAAAGCTTCACGGGCTTATGTTGAGGAAATGGTCAAAGCTGTTGACCGCTTAGTTCTCCTGGCTGCTGCTAATATTACTGATTTTTTAAAAAATTTCTTGCTATCGCTTTTCTTTTTAAAGGTGACTTCTAAAATCATAATTGTGAATGTTTTGAAACATGCACTCTGATCAAGAATATGGAAGGACGCAGAATGTCATAGATCGCTAGCTAGGTTCGTAGGGTAGGCAGATAGAGAGAGAGATATTGCTGGTAAAGATTTGCTCAGCCTAGCTTTTTTTCAGTCTTAAACCGGACTGTTTAAAGATGGATGCTAAGGTTGTGCAAAGCAGACATTATATGTGGTTGATACTCCTTTGCATAGGACGGACTCAATAAATTGCCTTGATCAACGGGGTTGATCATTCATCCTTTGAGGCTCTGTCTTGCCGACACTGAATAGCCGCGGTGCTCTCTTGTTAAACCAGATTTTTCTCAAGCCTTTCCTGGAGATGCTGTTGATTGGACCTGGCCCTTCGGCAGAGAAAAGGAGATGCTGCTCTGCACCTGACCTGGGGCTCTTTTGAGGGTGAACAGCAAGACGCTTTGGCTGACTCCCTGCTTCCTTGTAAAGCGGAGAGCAGCTTAGGAGCAGACATTTTGAGCCAAATGAATCTCACAGAGGTGCCAATAGCCCCCTTTTAGCTTCCAGTACAAAATTCATAGAACAATTCTATTACAGTGGGGTCTTGACTTAAGAACGGCTTGAGTTAAGAACATTTTGACTTAAGAACCACTCTCATAGGAAAATATTGACTTGACTTAAGTACTTAGATTTGAGTTAAGAACTGAAAAAAACCCACGTGGGAGGCAGGGAAAGTGCAAAATTTGAACTTTCAGTTAACTGTTGGCCAGTGAAAAGGGTGCCTGTCTGCTCCCTCACTCCTCCCAGCGTTTAGAGAGTGGATTGGGAGACAGTCTTCGGACTGCCTGGTACTGTCGTGCCTGGACTGTCTTTTCCCTGCCTTCCCTGAACCTTTCTTGACCTAAGAAAAAAAAAGAAAAAAATCCCCCTCTAGTGGTAGAAGGCGGAATAGCAGCTTCCCATTAGTTTCTATGGACGGAAAAGAGCCGATACGGATCAAATGGTTTTCAATGCATTCCTATGGGAAATGCAGATTTGACTTGAGAACTTTTTGACTTGAGAACCGCCTTCCAATACGGATTAAGTTCTCAAATCAAGACCCCACTGTATTCGTTCTGGATGATTAATTCATTATTTATCCAGAATCATAGAGATGGTCCTCGAAGTCCATCAAGTCCAACCCTCTGCTCAAGGCAAGAATCCAAATCAAAGGAGATCTGACAGGTGGTGGTCTTAAGTTTCTCTTGAAGGCCTCCAGCGTTGGAGCGCTCACCGTCTCTCGAGGTGGTCGGTTCCGCTGTCGTACTGCTCCAACAGTTAGGACGTTTTTTCCTGAGATTCAGCCTGAATCTGGCTTCCTGTCCCTTGAGTCCATGATGACATGTCTTGCATTCTGGGATGGCCAAGAACAGATACTGCCCCTTTTCTGCAGGGCTCCCTTTCAAGTCTTTGAAAAATGCTCTCCTGTCTCCCCCACAGACTTCTTTACCCATAGGCCCAGTTCTTTTTCCTCCTCCTAGGGCTTGGTTTCCAGTCCGCAGATCATCCTGGTTGCCCTCCTCTGAACGTGCCCCAGTTTGTCTGCAATGAGTTTTGGGTTTTCTCTCTCTCTCTCTCACTCACTTGCTCACTACAAATCTTTGCTCAGCCGAATGGATGAACGGTGCATTGTCTCCTGTCTCCCTTCTCTCCCAGGTGTGGGCTGCACCGTGATCCTCATGTACATTCTCTGTACAGACTGTTGGCTCCTGGCCGCTGCCTACTTGGCATGGTTGGTGTTTGACTGGAACACTCCCAAAAAAGGTAAGCGATGTAAAAACTGTTCCTCTTGTCCAGAGGTTCTCTTGAGGAATGGGTCGGACTGCACTCCCCATAATCCCCAGGGATCCCAATTATGGTCTTCCAAAAGATATTCTGCAGGGGAGGGCAAGATTTGGCAGTAGCTCTAAAATACTCCTGTGGAGTGAGGGTACATTGCAAATTTTTGTTGCATCTCCAGCTTCCCAGCGCTAATTGCGGCTTGTGTTTTGTGCTCTCAAGATGCTTCCAAGGTATGATGATGCTAGGAATGAGTGAGGCTTGATTTTTTGAACAGTCCTGCTCAGGTGTCACAACACAAAGGCTGTGGCTTCCTTTATTCAGTCCATCCATCTCATGTTGGGTCTTCCTCTTTTCCTGCTGCTGTCTGCTTTAGACCAGCATGGAGTCTCCTCGGGTTATGCCCCACATATCCTAGCCAAATTGCTGTCTATTTTTATGAATACACCTAGTATTAGTTTGGAAGCCAGTGGCCATTGTTTTGGTTGGCTGCGAATTATGCCTGCCAATGATTCATGGACTGAAAGCCACTGTTAAGTTGCCACTGGAGTAGACCCATATCAATTGATGGAACTTCCACTTATCCATTGGGTCAACTCTGGCTGTGTCTTCCTTCTGGATCTCAGCCATGTTGCAAAGCAGTCTGTTGTGTTTCTAGTATATTGGACTACAGTACCATTTCTTCTGACAGGGATGATGGGGTCAAGAATAAAGGGAACTATAGACACATATCCCACGCAAAAAACCCCAAACCTACAGGGTGCCAGCCTGATGCAAAACAGTGTTCTAAATCAATTCATTCAAGAAACCCCTGCCAGGTTTTCTGGTTTTCCTGGACTGCCAGTAGATCGGGGGGAAACAAAACGTTTCTCTGTGCCGCACATCATTCGGTAGGACAGAGCTTGGCCGACCTCGGCTTTAGAGGACCTGTTTCCTCTTATATCAAGCTCCCAGGTTCTCCCTACTGGGGCGTGCAGCAGGTATTAAAATAAACCTAAATCCAGGAATTGAAGTCCCAAAAGTGAAGGTTTGCAGTCCACAGTTCCTAGTTCTGAGGTTTCTGCAGGTGGGTGGCTGCTTGTTAGAAGAGGCGTTACCGGGAAGCATGGACCATTGATAAGATTCTAGGTATATTATGAAAGAGAATAATAATGATTGCTGCTGTCAAGTCATTTCTGGCTTACGGAGACCAGAGACCCTTTCCAGGGAGATAAAATACTCAAAAGTAGTTTGCCATTCTCTTCTTTTGGGGGTAGCCCTGGGACTAACCATGCAGCTGGCCCAAGGCCACCCAGGCTGGCTCTTCTCCCAGGAGGCCCCGTGTGGGAATCGAACTCCCAACCTCTGGCTACACAGCCAGAGACCCAAACCACAAAGCTATCCAGCCAGTTGGTACATTATGAAGCTGCCTTTAGATTATGATAGTAGGGAGTATATATTTTTCTTTACAGTACTGGCTTTTCCGGCTTGTGCCTGATTGAGATTCTCTCCCTCATCTTGCTAACAATCCTCTCTTCGCTCTTTCCGAAAGGTGGAAGAAGATCGCAGTGGGTCAGAAATTGGGCCGTGTGGAGGTATTTCCGGGACTACTTCCCTGTACGGGTGAGTCTTGCAAGATGTTTGGATTCTGCCTTTTTCTGACGTGGAACTGCCTCAGATACGTTGGCTCTCCAGGCGGAGAGATGATGGGAGTTGTAGCACAGCGTCTTTGGAAAGCAACAGGTTGGGGGAGGCTGCCCTGACCTCTTACAATTATGTGACGCTTCCTTCTGAGATGTTTGCCCGTTGTGTTGGGTCACCAAGGCAGGCTGCCGTCGCTCTGGGTTTTAAGGAAAAAGCACTTTGCACATGCTTGGGCGTGCTCTTCTCTTTAGTGCTGTTCATCAGTTGTTGTTGTTGTTTAGTCGTTAAGTTGTGTCCGACTCTTGGTGACCCCATGGACGAGAGCATGCCAGGCCCTCCTCTCTTCCACTGCCTCCCAGAGTTGGGTTCAAATTAATGTTGGTCGCTTGGATGACCCTGTCCAGCCATCTCATCCTCTGTCGTCCCCTTCTCCTCTTGCCTTCACACTTTCCCAACATCAGGGTCTTTTCCAGGGAGTCTTCTCTTCTCATGAGATGGCCAAAGTCTTGGAGCCTCAGCTTCAGGATCTGTCCTTCCAGTGAGCAGTCAGGGTGGATTTCCTTTAGAATTGATAGGTTTGCTCTCCTTGCAGTTCAGGGGACTCTCAAGAGCCTCCTCCAGCACCACAATTCAAAAACATCAATTCTTTAGTGGTCAGCCTTCTTTATGGTACAGCTCTCACTTCCATACATTGCTTCTGGAAAAACCATAGCTTTGTTCATCAGTACGGACCCTTTTAAAAGCAAGACCAGGGTTCAGGTCTTTGCCCTTGCATCTGGGAGGAACACACTGGGGCATACTTCCAGGTAAACCCTTTCCGGTTCTTATGATGGTCTCCTGCGCCCCATAATCATGGAACCTGCAAAGAAGCGGATAGAGTTCACAGTGTCTATTTGGATTCTCTTCCTTGTTTTTCTCCCTGGTAGGAAAGCCTTTACTAAGGTGGGGTTGTAATTGAGAGATCAGACTATCTAGTCTTTAGGAATGATAGCTGATAATCTTCCATGCGTCAGAGTGTGCCCCTCCAGGATGCCTACAGCTCTGTATCAAAAGACATACTTTATCTGAGGTGTGTACGGTGGTAATCTTTAAACTTTCTTTTTAAATTGCCCATCTGCTACAGTGGGTTTATTTTGAGACAGACCGGCTCCTATTATCTCCTGCCTTGGATCCATGGACACGTACGAAACAGATCCAAAGCAATTACTTATCTCTTGGTGCTGACTGCGTCCTTTGGACGAAGGACTTTGTTGATTCTCGATTCCTGGCCGGGCACGTTGGGCCGATGAGCCTGGCTGGGCAGGGCTGGCACAGAATCTCTTGTTTTGGTTTCATAAACTGTGTACTCTGTGGTGCAGTGGTAAATTTAGAAAGGCAGGCCCCCGTGGCAATCCTACCTTTCACCAACCCTTTCCTCTGAAGGAAGAGCCCAAACCGACAGGCTAGTGGATCAGTCCATTACAAGAAAGAATAAAGTCAGGCATTGTGTCAAAGCAATGGCCCTTGATTGCTCTCTGAAGATCAATATTTTGCATTATTCCAGAGAGAGCTTGCAACAATATACTGTTGCAGGTAAAATCTATTTCTCTCTTGGTTTCTGTGAGGATAGCAGCGAAGTTCAGAGGAAACAGCGAAGCCTGGCTTGTGGGGGGGCGGGGGCGGCGGCAGGAGGAGATGATGTCAGAGACCCTGGTTTTCACTCTGTAAGACCTGACTCTATTGAAATATTTCTCCCTACTTCCCAATACAGCATCATCCCGTGATTGTAATTTAATGAGGAATAGTTTGGCTTCTTTCAGGACGTGGTTGTAACTTCCTAATCAGTTTTATTGATTAAAGGAGATGTGGGGGGGGGGTCCCCCCTACGTGATGGAGAAAGAGTACCCATGATCCACTGGCTTGCTTGAGGCTTTTTATGGGTCTTGAAGTAAGAGTGAGGTGGACAGAAAGCGGCTGTTTCTTGGTACCATCGTCTGCTCATTTGTAGTGCTCAGTTTTTTTAAAAAGTAATTAAAAAGGTATCTATTTGAAGCACGTTTGAGAAATCGGAAAGTAAAGAGTTACCTTGGAAAGTCTATAACCGTATTCAGTTACAGAGGAGGTCGTGTGCAACTACCCTGTTTTCCCCAAAATAAGACCTAACCTGAAAATAAGCCCTAGTCTGATTTTTTCAGGATGCTCATAATAGAAGCCCTACCCCAAAAATAAGCCCCAGTGAAGAGAAACCCTGCCCTCTGCCCTTGTGCAGCCACCAGAAGAAGATGACACAACTGTAAAATAAAGCATCCCCTGAAAATAAGCCCTAATGTGTTTATTTGGAGCAAAATTTAATATAAGACCCTGTCTTATTTTTGGGGAAACAGGGTTTTATCTGGAGGAAAAAAGGAACTAAGCTAAGCTGAGTTAATTTTCACCATAGTCTGCTTCTCTTGATTGGAATTATAGAATAAATGGAAGGGGCCCCTCGAAGGCCATCCAGTCCAACCCCCTGCGCAGGGCAGGAATCCAAATCAAAATAGATCTGGCAGACAGGCATTCTCTTGATGGATTCTCTGTTCCCCTCTGGAGCTCTGCTGGCATCACCTGGTGATCCATGCTTTTTTGGGCACAGCGCTGTTCGTTTTTCGCAGTGTATGCGTGCGGCGCCATTGCGCCCAGGGTCTTGCGCTCAGGGAAGAAGCGACCTCTGCTTTGTCAGGGTTTGGAGAAGACCAAGCGTAATTCAGTGTCCTGCTACATTCTTGTTCTGCAAACATCTTTGCTGCCCGGAGGGCAAGCCTCTGGAATATTTTAAATTTCATAAAAGCAGTAGGAAACATGATCAGCCTTTGAAACACACAGAAACCTGCAGGCGAAGCCGGAGAGAGTAAGCATTGCAGGCATCAGCTGTTCACGTGTACGCCTGCAGGAGCTGGAGGGATACCCAAACAACAGTCACAGAACAAAGGTTATCGCTGCAGCCTGTATGCAGCCTTTATCCATTAGATAAAGGGACAATCATTAGGCTAACTTCCTTACCCAGTGCTAGCTTCTTGCCTAATCAAAACAATCTTTTGGCATGGGTATCGACAAGGACAAGCACCACAGCCCAGGGTGGACAGCTTCCAGAGAACTGAGGACCACAAACACACACACACACCCACTGGTTCCTGCTCAATTGTTGACCTTAAAAAATATTTTTCTTTTTAAAAAATACTGTTTGAGAAACTGTAAGTGCCCCCTCGTGCCCTCTAGTGTCTGAAATTAAAATCACAGCTTTTGCCTGGGCAGATATATTGTTTAGTTGTTAAGTCGTGTCCGACTCTTTGTGACCCCATGGACCAGAGCACACCAGGCCCTCCTGTCTTCAGCTGCCTCCCGGAGTTGTGTCAAAGTCATATTGGTCCCTTCGGTGACCCTGTCCAACCATCTCCTCCTCTGTCATCCCCTTCTCCTCTTGCCTTCACACTTTCCCAACATCAGGGTCTTTTCTAGGGAGTCTTCTCTTCTCATGAGATGGCCAAAGGATTGGAGCCTCAGCTTCAGGATCTGCCCTTCCAAGACTGGGATACCTCATGGCTAACTGGGTATCAACTATGTCATCTCCCTCAAAACATCTACCAGTCCCACCTGCACCGTTCATGTTGGGAGGCCACCAAGTGGCCCCCCTCAGGGTGGCCCGGATACCAGTCACTCGAATCCGGCCCTTCTCAGTGGTGGCCACTTCACTTTGGAACTCCTTGCCACCAGAGGGGTGATTGGTCTCATCTTTCCTGGGTTTTAGGAGGCAACTGAAGACCTGGTTGCTTCCCCAAGTTTTTGAATTGTTTGCCTCTAATTAAGTAATGTTATATATCCCTTCTGCCCCCTGCCTGCCATTAATTTTCCCTTTTTCTTTTGTACTTCCTGTAGCAATGTCTGGAACCACATTCTTCCACTGCTGTTTTATTGTTTTGTCATGATTGTTGTTTATGATGGTGTGTTCTTCTACTAGCCTAGCTGCTAGTTGGGTGGGATATGAATTAATTAATTAATTTTAATAATCAAGCTGGTAGCAGGAAGCTGGGCATGAGAAGCTTCACCTTCTATGAAAGGCTTCTCTTTTTGTGCGCATGTCTGTGTAACCATTTGTAATTTTGCATTCTTTTTCACACTGAATTCTTCCTATGTTTCTTTCCTCAGCTGGTAAAGACCCACAACCTGGTGACCCACAGAAATTACATCTTTGGCTACCACCCCCATGGCATTATGGGCCTGGGTGCCTTCTGCAATTTTAGCACGGAGGCGACCGGTATGAGCCAGAAGTTTCCGGGGATCCGGCCCTACCTCGCTACGTTGGCCGGGAATTTTCGCATGCCCATCTTGAGGGACTACTTAATGTCTGGGGGTAAGGAGGATGACCTTTCTTCAGCCGTTTTAGAAGAGGCAGCTGTGTTAAGATATAAGGCAAGAAAAATTAAAAATAAAGAAGTCAAAAACATTGTCACACCTTGAAATCACCTATATTTTAAGCTAGGGAGTTCTGATTTGCCAGTAAATCCCATTGGCTTCAATGGAATTTTCTACTTCCAGAGTAAGTACATGTAGGTATTTCCTCTTAGAATGGTTATGATGTTTAATCAGCTTTGTTAATTAGGAAGGAAAGAGTCTTTTATTTATTAATCGGGTAGGGTATCTATTTAAAATCCTATTTTTATTACAAATACATCAACAAACTTTTCTGAACAGAAAACGTGCTTCCTCTTCCAGATGCACTGAGCTTGTCCCTATGAAAATTGGATGGATAGAATACTCTGATGGACCAGATGAAATCAGCTAACGGTTGGGCAGTGATCCAGTTCCTCAGATTTCTCCCAGTTTTCAGCCGATGTTGTGTAGGCTGCTTGTGAACAGAACGGGGATGGGCACACAACAACCAGCCCTTAATTCTACACTAATTAAAGGAACATAAAACAACGACATACCCTTGTAAATGACATCGTAGTCCTGCCAAAATATCACCTTTGAACAATAGTTGGGGAAATGAAGATCTAGGTTCTGCCAAAGGATGGAAAAGTTACTTTTTAAAGATCCTAACTACCAGAATGTTGTTTTGTACTATACAGTCATTTCTGATACAATTGTCACCCTATGAAATAAGGCCCTCTTACCGTTAGGTCTTGCAAACGAGAGGCCAATGTTTCTTTTATTGAGTCAATCCATCCCGTGTTCAGTTTTCCTCTTCTCCTGCTGCTTTCAACCTTCCCCAATAATACTGTCTTTTCCAAGGAGTCTTGTCTTATGATGTGGTCCATGTTTTGCCATTTTTGCTTGTAGGCAGAATTCAGGCTTGATTTGGCCTAAGACTTACTTGGAGGGAAAGAGGAAGACCAAGTACAAGATGGACCGGCTCTCTAAAGGAAGCCACGGGCTTGAGTTTTTCAAGAGCTGAGCAGGGCTCTTAAGGACAAGATCTCTTTAGGAGATCTCTCTTTCCTAGGGCCAGCCTAAGTCAGAGGTGACATGATGGCACGTAACAACAACAAGCCCCGAATGAAAAGCTGGACACCTTACCTGTTTTCTGAAGGTTCCCTTTCTTTCTCTAATGTCCAGGCATCATCCCGGTGAATCGCGACACCATTGACTATATACTCTCCAAGAACGGCAGCGGGAACGCCATTGTGATTGTGGTCGGGGGCGCCGCGGAGTCCCTGAACTGCATCCCAGGCAAAAATTCGGTGACCTTGAAGAACCGGAAGGGCTTTGTAAAGCTGGCGCTACGGCACGGGTAAGGCGTGTAGCAACCTTGGGCGTCTTGGCTGGGACTGGGGATAAAAATATAGCACGCTGCTTGTTCCTTCTGTTGCCACACATTGTGAGCTATAATTGAACGCTCTTCGTTTAAAAGCTGTTCACCCCGAAGGCTGCCAGTCAGCTTACAACATTAAAAGACAGCATGTTAAGCTAACAGCTGGGAGTATACGATACTGAAAGGATGACACATTTTTGTTATTTAGTCATTCAGTCGTGTCCAACTCTTCGTGACCTCATGGACCAGAGCACACCAGGCCCTCCTGTCTTCCACCGCCTCCCAGAGTTTGGTACCAAATTCATGTTGGTCGCTTGGCTGACCCTGTCCATCCATCTCGTCCTCTGTCGTCCCCTTCTCCTCCTGCCTTCACACTTTCCCAACATCAGGGTCTTTTCCAGGGAGCCCTGGTTAGCCACAGTATTTTCAGAATATTAATATCAAATAAAAAAATTCCCACACCATGTAGTGGAGCAAGTTATGAATTTTGTTGAAAGATCTTTCTTTGAGGCTGAAAAAACACGTGTACATGTGGGGCTATGGAAACCTGACTAGGCTGCTTGTACACTGCTGTCAGGCTTGCTCCCTTGAGTTTCCTCCTTGACCAAGGTTGTTGACCCATTCCTAAGTGACCAATGGACAGAGCTTCAAAAAACAAACTTCCTTCTTTTTTTATGACCGTACCACCACATGCTGGGAAAGTGTGAGGGCAAGAGGAGAAGGGGAGGACAGAGGACGAGATGGTTGAACAGTGTCATCGGAGCGACCAACATGAATTTGACCAAACTCCGGGAGGCAGTGGAAGACAGGAGGGCCTGGCGTGCTCTGGTCCATGGGGTCACGAAGAGTCGGACACGACTTAACGACTAAACAACCACCACCACAGTGATGATTGGGCACTTTTGGTAGCAGTAATAGAAAAACACAACTTTTCCCTTAATCTTCTCTCTGGCTTTAGCATTCTGCAAGGCCTTCTGAATCCTTCTGACCTTGTGATTGGGTTTCGTCTTTCAGGGCAGATCTGGTCCCCATCTACTCGTTTGGCGAGAATGAGGTCTACAAGCAAGTGGTCTTTGAAGAGGGCTCCTGGGGACGATGGGTCCAGAAGAAGTTTCAAAAATATGTGGGCTTCGCACCTTGCCTCTTCCACGGACGAGGCCTCTTCTCTGCCAGCAGCTGGGGCTTGGTGCCCTATTCCAAACCCATCACCACTGTTGGTAAGGAGGACCATCAAGAGGACGGGTTCGCCTGGGTCAACACGGGGACGTAGAGTGAAACCTCACTGGGCTTTCCCCTCGCTTGCTTTGGTGTACACTTTGAGTTTTTGGTTAAAGACATGAAAGTTGGCTGCCAAGGGGGGACACCAGATTTAATCAGAGAGCGAGCGAGCGAGAAACCCCATCAAACTCATGATACTATGGGCTTCTGAGGAAGCAAATTTTGGTGTCCAAAAACTCACCCTGAAATACATTTGTTTGTCTTTTAAATATTATTTATTTGCTTTATTTATAAACTGCTTTTCTCCGGACAAGGGGACCCAAGACCACTCACAGTATTAAAAAGAATAGAATTAAAAACAGAATAAGTAAATCATTAAAAAAAGAATAAGTTAATCATTAAAAAAAGAATAAGTTAACCATTAAAAAAACAATTCAACAATACACTGAATAAAATACTATTGAATCATTAAAAACAAGTGAATATTAAAAACGATCACTTAAAAAAGGCATTCAAGGACTTATGTTATGGTTAAAAGCCTGTCTGAAAAGATGGGCCTTCAGCTATTACCCTTATAACAATGAAATACAGAAAGAAGACTGTGCTGAGCAAATGTACATACAAAATAGTATGAATGCCCTCCAAAGGAATAATGCGAACAAGTGGAAGAGAGATTCCATCTTAATCCGAGAAAACATAGAGGAAAGATTTATACTGTTGATATCCGGGTTGTATCTTGGGGTGGCTGCCTGGGAAGCTCAGGGGTTTAGGCATTCAGCTGTGGAGCCAGAAGTTGGGAGTTCGATTCCCCTACTGTGCCTCCTGGGAGAAGAGCCAGCCTGTGTAGCCTTGGGCAAGCTGCACACAGTCCCAGAGCTCCCCCTAGAGGAAGGGAATGGGAAAACCATTTCTGAATATTCTCTACTAGGAAAACCCTGAAAAGAGTCACCATAAGTCAGAATTGACTTAACAGCACATCATCATCATCATGTTGGCAAAAAATGCTACAATCTCACTGCTTCGTACTGAAATCTTCTTGGCAGCGCCATAGTTAAAGAGCTGCTACTTAAAATTCTTCTACCTGAGAGGTTGAGGGGTGTCCCCACTGATTTCCAAATGCCGCCCCTTCCAGATGTTGATTTGCATTGGTTTATGTGATGGGCAGCCTTCCAGAATTTGATGCTGTCCAGCTGTTGTGGACTTCAGTACCCTTCATCCCTATCCAGCTGGGGAGGAGGGGAAGTTGTAGTCCATGATACCTGGAGGGACTACCATGGTGAAGAAGGTTGTCTTGGGGTATGGGGAGGCAGGTTAGCTGGGCCTCGCTGAACATCTGCCTTATTTTTTTGCTCTCCGTTTTGTCTTTCAGTCGGGGAGCCGATCACCATTCCCAAAATCGAGAACCCAAACCAGAAGGAAATAGACTTTTATCACAGCCTCTATGTGAACTCTCTGATCAGACTCTTTGAAAAGTACAAGACAAAATTCGGCTTGGAAGAGACAGAGGTTCTGGAAATCAATTGACGGCGCGAAGGACGTTACTCCTCGGCGATTTAGGCCCATTGAAAGAGACGTTTTTTCTCGCCAGAACTTGAGTCGTTTGAGTCTGTGAATCAGAGAAGTGAGCGTGGATTGTGTGCGCATGAGGTTTTTAAAAGGGTGGAAAAAAAGAAAAGAAGTCCTCTAAAGATTTGAAACATAAGAGCTCTCCAGAAAAACAGGGTGGCGGTGGTGGTTTCTGTTTGGCTCGTCTGTGACCCATACATCCTGTTCTATCGCCACACAGAGGGTTCCCCATGGGCCTCTTAATGGGAAATTAAAAGCGAAAGGCACATATTTGCTTTTTAGACCCCGTGTCGTTCACGGTAGAACACAGGAGCCCAGAACCAGAATTAGAGCAGCTTTTAATCTTCGAGGGTACTTCCATTCCAACAATTGGGTCTAGTCGCTCAATCTTGCCTGGTTTTAGCTGGCCGCCTGCAGATCTCCTGCCCCTGAGATCTTTTTAATTGGAGATTCCAGGAGTTGGCCTTAGAACCTTCTGCCTGGTAGGGGAAACCCTTGCAAACTTCTTAACATCTGAGGGCCGAAAGAAGGCAGATCACGGGCATGATCCTGCTCCCCTGTGGTAGGACCATATAATGCAGGAAAAATACTATTAGGATTCCTCGTAGTGTCAGATTTTCAAGTCTTGTAGGCTGCAGCATTGGCACCTCCCCAAATATTTAGCTTGCGTTGGTACTGCTATTAATTCTAATGTACCAGAACTGATTTTCAGACACCGTGACATAGCTCAAGGGGATTTCTGGCCAACCCTAAGCCCTCCAGGAAGCACAAGCAATGCAAATTCTATAATTTTCTCCCGCCCGGCCCTATCCTGTTTGCACTTTGTTAAGAACCAAAGACACATACACGCTCTGAAAAGAGACCTTGTTCAGTTAGTTGATCCTCACAAATATCTTTGCATTGGCCTTTCTTCTCCTGTTTTCTCTTGTGAGAAAGAATCCGACTCTTTTAGAAGATGGTACCTGCCCCGTTATATATCACGTACGAAAATCCTGTATTAAAGCACAGTGGGGTGCTAGCGTTTGGCCAGTGCAACTCTGTGATTCCAAAAACAAAAGGCCACTACGTTTATTTTGTGTGTGTGCGTGCACACAGGGAAGAATGAAGAGGGATATATGACAGTGCTGCCAAATGTTTTCTCGAGGAAGGTTTCTGTGCTTTCAGCAGATGCGCGACAGGGAGAATTTACGTCGTCTTTTTCCTAAGAAAAGAAAATCAACCTCCGTCTCTTTCTCCTTATCCCGCTTGCTGTGACTGAAATCCCATTGCACCAACTATGTGGGCAATGCAAAGCTTTAGAAGTGTTGGGGAGGAGTGGAAATCATGGTGCAGTGGAAGGTGAGCCATGGAGTCTTTCCACAGGTGTGTTGTGGAGCAGCCCCAGTGTGGACCACGCAACGGTTTGTGCCACCGCACTGTGAAGGGTGTGCTCGGGAACCATGCGGTCCATTGTGCAGCTGCAGCACGAGTTGCACAGCCACAGTGCGAAGTTGCACGAATCGTGTGTGCCATGCTGACTCCTGGACGGAACCCATTTCCACCGATGCAGCTTTTTACACGGTGCAGGCGTGAACAGGATTTCAGCCTGTGACTTGTTAACCTTACTTTGTCACTGATAAACTTTATCTTAACCAAAGACCTCAGTTGTCCAAAGATCTTCTGTTCCTTAAGATGTTCCTGCCTTTTCTTCCTTTTGTATGGAACTCTCTCTAGCGCACTGGTGTATTGTCCCCTTCCTCTACCACCTCTTGATTCCTCTGTATTGCAGTAAAGCCTCTGCCCCGGCTCTTTAGACTTCCTCTGCAGCTTGAAAGGAAGTCCAGTTATGTGCAACTCAACTTCCTTCCTTCCACCATCAGTTCCTTCCTTCCACCCTTCCTTCCTCTCCACTGTCACTGTTGGGATTACTAAATGTGTCCGGACAGGGAAGTGTCTCTGTGGCTAATCTTACTTTCGAAAATGGCTGCTTGATACTTCGAATACTCCCTCTTGAGTAGTATCGTCCCTCTCTGTGTATCCGTTCAAGCAGGGGTGGGCAACACATAGCCGTCCGTCTCCCCAACACACACCACTGGAATTTGGTAGCAAATGGCAGAATTCCACTGAAGGAAGCAGTGAGATTGTACAGTGTGCCATTAACGCTTGGAAGCCAACCGTGTGTGTGTGGGGGAAAATAAGTGTTTCTTGCTTTTGTGGAATATATCCCACAGTAAGTCTACAGGCAGGGGACACAAAATGGGGTCCCAGACCTTCTGGTTACCCGCTCGTGCAGTACAGGAGATTCCACCCCCCCGGACCGAAACTGGCCGTCAGAATCTGTGCTGAAGTCTACCAGGAGTCTCCGTAGAAAAAGCGTTTTGTGAGAACGAGGCCGAGCTATAACTCTGGAAATACCTGTGTGTGTGTGTGTGTGTTTTTAAAAGAAAATGACAGTGATGATCCACTCAGCGATGAATGTATATAACATAGCTCTTCTGCTGCGCAATGTATTGACTATTTTGTAAATGTTTACATGGATATTAACTGAAGCTATACAGAGAACATATTCAGAGCCCCATGGGAGTGCATACAGACACATGCATATATAAAAAATGTTTTGCACTAATGCATGTTTAACCCGCCGCCTTCATTTGTTTTAATTGTTGATAAAGATCCAAGCCCTAATAGTGCCTTTGGGTGATGCAGAAATCCAGGGCTTCTGGTCTCCCTGTGATCGTAAAATGTACAGAAAAAAAAGCTCCAACTTTTGGGTGTTTCATGGACTATTGTACATGGGGGGGGGGAAATAATTTTGTACAAATTTATAGAAATAAACATAAGCAAAAAAAATAGTATATTGATTGTTCTCTGCTTCCTTTCTGCTGGCCAGAATCCTGTTGCCTGATGTAAAACTATGAGTATAAACGTCAGCAGTGAATTTATGATGGTTAGGAAGCTGGCATTGTGGTTTTTTTGGTAACATGACAAACTGTGCATATGCTATGTGATGGGGGGGTGGAAGGAAAAAATGTGTGATGGGAAAAAAATGAGCCCGGAGGCTTTGAGGCCTAGGTAGGCCTAGCTCGGTCTGGCTTCCTGTTCAGAAAGGAAGTTCTTGCTATGGCTGTGGCAGGAACAGGAAGAGAGAGGGAGCTAGGCCTAGCTAGGCCTCAAAGCGTTTCAGTTTAGGTTTTTCTTCCTGGTGTGCTATATTTGCCTGTAAAGCCTTTTGTCTGCCAAGTAGAACTTCCAGAATGGAGAATGATGGGATCTATAGTCCACCTAAAATCCCACCCCTAATAAGATGGCATACCAGTTAGGAATGGATGGAAGCCTGTCTGCAGAAGATTGTAGCCTACTCCACTTTGGATGCTCTACATTTGTATTAGAACACATCTGCCATGCATACGTTTCCTATATATTGCTTCCTCTCCAGTGAGCCATGCGACGGATATGTAACAACAAACTGCTATAAGACTTACTCGCTTGTGGCCATGTGCTGCTGAGGTTTATGATATGTTTTGCTGGCGACTATAAGTTACAGAGTTCTGGCCGCTGTTCATGCCTTCATTATTGCACAAAAGGAATTGTTAAATGCCATCACAACAGAAATGTGACGCGGCATAATCGTTGCATGTCACGGGAGCAGTTTACAGATATTTTGCTGGCGACTATAAGTTACAGAGTTCTGGCCGCTGTTCATGCCTTCATTATTGCACAAAAGGAATTGTTAAATGGCATCACAACAGAAATGTGACGCGGCATAATCGTTGCATGTCATGGGAACAGTTTACAGATACTGTACAGGGTATGTGTGGCCTTGTTACTCAGATATGCGTTGTACCAAAGGACAGCGACTTAGTGATATTCTTCACGCATTTAACTAAAGGGACTATTGTAGTTCCTTTTCTGTCACAACAAAGAGTTCTTTCTCAAAAAGTTTTCGTGGTAATGATAACTAGCTGGATTCTTGGATATAGGATGGCTGCTTACACACCATTAAAATGGAAGATAGCCATTGTCAAGAAAAGAGAGGGCATTAGAGAACGCTGATTTGCATAAAACTACATGAGCTAATTTATATATATGGGTGCAAAGCTAGAAGTCATTCTTAGTTTTGAAGAGAATTCTAGTGCATCTCACTTGAGCTAGGATGTTAGTAACCAGATGATCAACCTGCCCATTGAGCCAGCGGTCCAGGTGCTGCTCACTATGGACAAGTGACTTCAGCATTCAATATCTCCCTCCTTAGAACTCTTTCTCTTTAAATCACACAATATGAGCGTAACACATTTAAAATAATTTTAAACAAAACAGGTAAGACCATTCAAAGCATATATAGTTACAAAGTTCTAAAGTTTGCACAAGCTATCATCTGAACCTCCAAGGATCAAGTGGACAACCCAGTTTTAAATTGGTGCCAAAATTTAATCTGTATCGTCACCAGCAGAGCCTCCCAGGGAAGAGCATTTCACAATCAGGAGAGAAAAACTTTGCCAGTGTGTCGTCACATACTATGCTGTTCTGAATTGTGGGATATGATGAGCCAGTGGTCCAGGTGCTGCTCACTATGGACAACTGACTTCAGCATTCAATATCTCCCTCCTTCGAACTCTTTCTCTTTAAATCACATAATATGAGCGTAACACATATAAAATAATTTTAAACAAAACAGGTAAGACCATTCGAAGCATATATAGTTACAAAGTTCTACAGTCTGCACAAGCCATCATCTGAACCTTCAAGGATTGAGTTTTAAATCGGTGCCCAAATTTAATCTGTATCGTCACCAGCGAAGCCTCCCAGGGAAGAGCATTTCACAATCAGGAGAGAAAAACTTTGCCAGTGTGTTGTCACATACTATGCTGTTCTGAATTATGGGATATGAAGGAGGCCACCCATACCAGACCTCTATGATCAAGCAGGCAGATGGCACATGTGGGAAAACATACTCAAATATCCAGGTGCCAAGCCATTTTTAGGGTTTTGAGGCCCCAGCAGAAGAATCACTGTCTGTAATCCTCAGAGCACAGTTTATGGTTCCTGGAGTAACTTCGTTGCTTGGGACCTGTACACCTTTATGGAGTAATTGCATTTCTCTGGCTGGCCTTGGAGAGAGACTAGTTCATGATAAAGACCCATGCACAGGTGGATCTGAGGGATGAAGTTATGTGCAAAAGTTATTTTTGGAGGGTTATATTTTCCAGATTTTCACAGCCAGCGTTGCTATAGGTGGCCTTGTTTTCGGGGTGGTGGTGTGGTGGTGGTGTGTCTGGGAGTTGCAGTGGGAAAAAAAATCATAAAATTTCCATGCTCTGGGGTGACCTCATTCTTTCCCAGCTTCACGTTTTAAAAACCAGCTATTGGCTGCAGCCTGCAGGTTAAACGGAATTGAAGTGAGGCTTGCAGGAAACTCCCTTGTTAGGAGGATTAAGCTAAAAATCTTGTGTGAACTAATAATATATAAGTTCTCACTGTAATGCCCGAAAGTCAAGTGATGAATTTGAACAAAAGATGTAAAAAGAGACCAGACCACTGCTGCTATCAGCTGAATTTGCAAAACACTTGACTCCAACTTACTTCTTCTGTGTATCTTGTAACTGCTGCTATCAGCTGAATTTGCAAAACGCTTGACTCCAACTTAGCTCTTCTGCACATCTTGTAATTATGTTATCTTTGAATTTTCGGGTCTATGACCATATAATAAAACTTAACTAACACTTGACTGAGTTCCAAAGCTGGAAACCTGTGGTGGAGAGCCCGTGGTCCTTCCTCTGAGGGTCCTTACATTACTGCCCCCTAACTGGTCTTCCAAAAGGGACTTATGGATTTTGTGGACCAAGAATGTAGGTTCCCTGTCCCTATAATAATAAGTGTCCCTGTTCCTGCCCTGTTTCCACAAGTGCCTTACTGGAACACCATCAGCAACCCTGAGGAAGGAGCTCAAAGCAAGACAGAGAGATGGAGTTACTCCTGCAGCCTTGCTCAGCCCCTGAACTTGACAGGTGAACAGATAAAAGTTTTTTTTTCTCATCTTCATGAGGACTACCAACACAGCAGCCTCCCGTTCTCTAAGACTTTGTAGCCAAAAGATGCACTGAATCATGGAGTTGGAAGGAGCCTCTAAGCCTAAGGCCATCCAGTCCAACCCCCTGTTCAAGACAGGAATCCAAAGCAAAGCAGATCCGACAGATGGTGGTCCAATTTTCTCTTAAAGGCCTCCAGTGTTGGAGCCCTCACCACTTCCCAAGGTTCAATTGTCGTACTGCTCTAACAGTTAAGAAGTTTTTCCTGCTATTCAACCGAAATGAGGCTTCCTGTAACTTGAGCCCATGGTTGCATGTCCTGCACTCTGGGATGAGCGTGTATTTTAACCGTGCTATCCTCTCTCCCCTCAAGGCTTCTTTTCTCAAGGCTAAACCCGCCCTGTTCTTTCAGTTTTTCTTCCTAGGGCTTCGTTTCCAGCCCCCTGATCCTCCTTGTCGCCCTCCTCTGAACTGGTTCCAATTTGTCAGCATCCTTCTTGAAGTGTGGTGTCCAGAATTGGACACAAGACTCAAGGTGAGGTCTAACCAGTGCTGAATAGAGGGGGACTAGCACCTCGCGGGATCCAGAGACATGCCAGAGACAGTTCTTTGGTAGTATCACAGACTCTTGTCTAACACTTGCGAAATCATGTGTGCTTGTCTAATGTGTTAAAGTTTATGTGTTGCAACCATGTCAGGGGGCACAAGGGCATGCCAGGCATCTACAGGGTTTCTCTTAGACCTCTTCCCTTGCTGCTGATTTTTAAGTGCATTCTTGTTGCTCATCACAAACTGCACAGAAAAGTAACTTTTCTGCTGAACCAGTGAGCCCTGGCATCCGCTGGGAAGGGAAGAAGATGGTGCACAGATTTGAAAACCATTTCACTGTAACTAAAAAAGAGACCTTTGGGTAGAGTGGGCGGCATATAAGTTAAATAAATAAAATAAGTAAGCAAGCAAGCCTTGGTGGCAGCTTAGTGTAACTGTGTGGCAGATCCCAGTAGGGGGACTAGCACCTTGCGGGATCCAGAGACATGGCAGAGACAGTTCTTTGGTAATATCACAGACTCTTGTCTAACACTTGCGAAATCATGTGTGCTTGTCTAATGTGTTAAAGTTTATGTGTTGCAACAATGTCAAGGGGCACAAGGGATGCCGGGCATCTACAGGGTTTCTCTTAGACCCTTGTGTTACATACAGCACTGATGTTACCTGTCTGTCATGGGTTTGGAGGGAAAGTTCCATCCTATGGGGAGTGGAAGGCGGGACATCAGGAGGAGGGGCTGTACTGTATATATATGTGGAGTTTGTGTGGAGAAGTTTGGGAGAAGCTGGAGGAGAGCTGAGAGAAGAAGCTTGAGTGGGAGTCTGTGTGTCAGACAGGGTACTACTGTGTGTCAGTCAGTACCAACCTGATAGGTTCAGGTGTCTGTATGGTTAGCCAGAACTGATAGGTTCAGGGTCTGTGCTTCAAGTTAAGTGTTCTGTGTGAACCAAACTGTGTGTATGTATGATTGAGACTAAGCCACGTTACTGTATCTTATTCACTTGATCCTTTTATTTTTCCCTGTGTGTTATTTAATAAACCTTGTTCTTTTATTTGTTAAAAATCCATCCCTGGTCTGTGTGACTTCTTATAGGGAATGGTTGGTGGCAGCTTAGTGAAGGTGTGGCATCCTCCAGTAGGTCTGGGTTTGTCACACCTTGCTGCTGATTTTTAAGTGCATTCTTGTTGCTCATCACAAACTGCACAGAAAAGTAACTTTTCTGCTGAACCAGTGAGCCCTGGCATCCGCTGGGAAGGGAAGAAGATGGTGCACAGATTTGAAAACCATTTCACTGTAACTAAAAAAGAGACCTTTGGGTAGAGTGGGCGGCATATAAGTTAAATAAATAAAATAAGTAAGCAAGCAAGCCTACAAGAACACATTGAGAACACAAACAAAATGGTCTCCTCCTGAATCCCTAAAGTTAGGTTTTCTGCAGAAGCCTAGCAATTTCCTGGGGTTGCAGTCAGTACTCTGAAATCTGACAACCCAGATCTGTGTTACTGTCCTCTCAGTTTTTTTATTGTACTTGTTGGCATATTGAATGTAGCACCTTAACAGCATCATCCTTTAAGATTTTAAATAGTTCAACTGGAATGCCATCACCTCCACTGGCCTTGTTGTTAGCCAGGCTTTCTAAGGCCCACTTGACCTCACTCTCCAGGATGTCTGGCTCTAGGGTTTTTTAAAACAAAAGGAAATGAAAAGTTGTATAAATGAAAATGAACAGTTGTGTAAGTTTATTATTAAATAAATAAATAAATACTGTAATAATTCATGATAAAGCGTTTGACAATCAATCTTATATATAAGACCCAGAATTTAATGTAAACCTGCAGAGCCTAATGTAAACTTAGGAACTAGAAAAGATCACCAAGTGTAAGGATGTGTCCCTGGAGACCGAGACCAAGATAATCCACACTCTTGTATTTCCGATCATCATGTATGGGTGTGAAAGGTGGACAGTGAAGGAAGCTGACAGGGGGGAAAATGGCTTATCTGAGATATGGCGCTGGAGGAATGTTTTATGGATACCCTCGACAGCCAGAAAGGTGAACCAGTGGCTCCTAAATCAAATCAAGCTTGAATTCTCTCTGGAGGCACAAATGTTGAAACTGAGGCTGTCCTCCTTTGGGCACATCCTGAGAAAGCAGGATTGTCTGGAGAAGACAATCACGTTGGGAAAGGATGGAGGCAGCAGGAAAAGAGGGAGACCCCAATGTAAGATAGACTGACTCCCTAAAGGAAACCACAGGCTTGTGTTTGCAACAGTTAAGCAGGGCTGTTGAGGACAGGACGTTTTGGAGATCGCTCAATCAGATTTGACAGCCCACAACAACAACTACAAAAACAATAGCAGGGAATAACACTGCCCCGCAAGGCATTGTGGAACGCAGCATCCTTAAAGCCCGGAGTAAGAGCTCCCCCCTCTGTTGCTATGGGGACAGCCTCCCTTTCTCCCATGTCTTCTGTCACATGATAAAAACAGATGCCATGTGATGCGTCGTCATCTTCCCTCCAGGTTCCCCCAAAGTCCGTTGGCTCTCTCGGTCAAAAACAAAGCCCTGTCCAATCGCTAAGGACTTCTTAAGGCGTTGGCCCAGCCCCTTAAAAAAGACGCGCCGACCAATGAGGCGCGAGGTACGAGTTCGGCCTCGGGCAGGTTTTTCTTTTGACAAGAGGCGGCGTTTTCCCCAAAACCCGCACAGAAGCGGACGCCGGCCAATCCACGCCGGAGTCCAGGCGTTAGTCCGGATCGACGTGCCCGTCGGCCAATGAGACGGCGACGTGGCACGCCGGATCCCCGCCCTCCCTTCCTCGGAGCCAACCGGCGAGCGGCCGAGGCCCGTCGCTCATTCTTCTGTCCTCTTCTTTACCTAGTCGCGAGGGTCCGAAAACATGGCTCCGTGAGGGAGCGGGCGCGCGCGCGCGCTCGTGGGAGGCCTCGCGGGTTCGTTCTCCGGCGGCGGGGTAGTTCGACGAAAAGGAACGAGGGAGGAACGAAGCCGTCGTTACCCGGCCAATGGTTAACCGTTCCGCGCCCGGCGGCTGAGGAGGAGGGGGGGGGAAAAGGCTGACAGACCGGGCTCAATGCGCAGGCGCCCAGGCCGCCTTTGCTCCTGCCGCTGCCGGGCCGCCACCGTTACCCGCCTCCGCTGCCGCTTCCCACCAGCATGAGCCAGAGCGCCGCCGTCTTGCCCCCGCCGGGCCCGGCCTCCCGCGCCCTCCACGTGGAGCTGCCTTCCCAGCAGGTGGGTTGGTGCTCTCGTGTGTGTGTGTGTGAGTGTGAGAGAGAGAGAGAGAGAAAGGGGAGGCAGAGACGTGTCTGCCCTCTGGGTCCGCGCCTTGGACAGCAAAGGGTTAAGGAAGCCTGGCTGTGAGGGAGGAAATGTGTGTTGTGTGTGTGTGTGAGAGAGAGAGGGAGAGAGAGAGAGAGAGAGAGTGTGGAGGGTCACCCACAATAAGAGTGCTGGGGAGGAAGGGGTTAATACACACTCAGGAGGCAGGTATACAAACAGAAGCACACAAAACAACACACACACACGTGTATATATACATACGTGTTCACTGGACGGACAGATCCTGAAGCTGAGGCTCCAGGACTTTGGCCCTCTCATGAGAAGAGGAGACTCCCTGGGAAAGGCCCTGATGTTGGGAAAGTGTGAAGGCAAGAGGAGAAGGGGATGACAGAGGACGAGATGGATGGACAGGGTCACCGAAGGGACCAACATGAATTGGACCCAACTCTGGGAGGCAGTGGAAGACAGGAGGGCCTGGCGTGCTCCGGTCCATGGGGTCACGAAGAGTCAGACACGACTTAAGGACTAAGACAATAACAATGGGTGATTTGTCAGCCCTCTGGGTCCATTCCTTGGACAACAATGGGTGAATGAAGCCTGGCTTGGAGGGAGTTGTGGGTGTGTATATGAGAGAGTATAAGGTCACCCATGGTAGGAGTGCTGGGGAGGAAGGGGTTTATACACACTCAAGAGGCAAGTACACAAACAGAAGCACAAACACATGTGAACACATGGCAGTTTCTCCCAGCAATGCAATGGGAGTCCCTTCTTGGGACAGGCGGTTGTATTATGTTTCTGTGTGTGTGTGTGTGTGGAGAGAGAGAATGGGAATGGGTGACTTATCTACTCTCTGAGTTTGTGCCTTGGGTGGCAAAGGGTGAAGGAAGCCTGGCTGAGAGAGTATTTCACTTTGTGTGGCTATGAGGGGAGTGGAGGGTTGCCCACAGTAAGAGTGCCGGGGTGGAAAGGGTAAGGGGGAACCCTAGCCCCAACCCAAAATTAACATGATTTAACAGTCAAGAAAAAAAAACCCTTGAATATTTATGGCAAGTAAAGTTGAGGAATTCATTAGATAGATCTTAGAATGTTGGATATGAAGCAGTACATTTGTTTCTGCAGAGTCTAGGTGTGACCTAGAGAGTGGGTGACCCTCAAGATGTAGCTAAATTGCAACCCTGTGGGTCTGAGCCTGCATAGCCAGCCTGCATAGCCGAGGGGCATTGAGATAAGCCACCTGGAACTGACAAGTTTTTCACTCCTCGTCTGAAGAGCCCATCATTAGGGAAGAAACATGCTGAGATGCAGCAGTTGGCTGTATGCGTCTATAGAACAACTTTCCAGGCTGATAATTGCATCTACTTTTGGGTTGGCATTTGTGCCGTCTGACGAGGAGGCTCACCCTTGTTCTAATTGTGTTCTGTCTTGACAGTACTGGTTTCTGCATCATTGTGGACACTACCCACCCGCACCTCTAGGGGTTGGATCCAGGATTTGCCTCACATGTAGAATGTGCGCCCATAGTGGAGTGTGTTTCCTGGTGGCATCTCTAGTGCTTTTAGGGAACTGGCTACTGTGAAAAGGAGGGTGGAGATGTTTTGATTATTTGTCTCTGTGTGTATGAGAGGTGTAGGATATTTTTTAGATTATTATTCTTTAGAATGGAATAGAGAGAATAACTGTGAAGAACTCAGAAAAAGAAGTAGGTTAAAGAAAGGTTGGTATTTAAATGCTTTTGGGGTGGGCGGGAGTCTGTGTAATTAGGAATAGGGGCATTTGCTGTTCATATAGTATATTATNNNAGTTTCCCCCCCCCCCCCGTGAAGAACAACAAGTGAGTTATTCTGAAACAGTGAAATCCTGAAAGTGAACATGTCTCTCACTTCATTCTACCCATCTTCATCTGGCTCAAAACAAATGTTGATCCTGAGCGTCAGGAAGTAATAAAGTGGCTACTGATCTGGATGTTCAGTAAACGTTGGCTGCTGGTGGAGTTTTAGTATTGGAAGCAGTCAAGTTGCAGTTGATTTTAGAGAGGGGTATGCTGGACGCTTGGCCACCAGACAGGGTGGACAAAAATCAATGATTTTTTAAAGATCAGATTGATGTAAATTGCAATTTAAATAAAATAAATTGATTTTTAAAATAAATTATGCTTAGAGTTAGGGAATCCCTTTAATGATTGCTTTCTTTTAGGTCTGTTTGAAATTATCACAGAATCATCACACAATAGCAGTTTTTCCCCCTCTCCTTTGCTTAGTTAATAAGTCAGATTTCTGAGCGGGTTTGGCTACAGACAGGGACGTGGTGGCGCTGCGGGCTAAACCACAGAAGCCTGTGCTGCAGGGTGAGAAGACCAAGCAGTCGTAAGATCGAATCCACGCGACGGAGTGAGCGCCCGTCGCTTGTCCCAGCTCCCGCCAACCTAGCGGTTCTAAAGCGTGTAAATGCGAGTAGATAAATAGGGACCACCTTGGTGGGAAGGTAACAGCGTTACGTGTCTAAGTCGCACTGGCCATGTGACCACGGAATTCATTCATTTTCATTCATTTATTTGATTTTTACCCCGCCCCTCTAGACCATGTCTACTCGGGGCGGCTAAGAAGAATGTCTTTGGACAAAACGCTGGCTCTATGGCTTGGAAACGGGGATGAGCACCGCCCCCTAGAGTCGAACACGACTGGCCAAAAATTGTCAAGGGGAACCTTTACCTTTACCTTTGGCTACAGAAGATCATTTCAGTGGAGTTCAGGTCCATTAACCTAGTTTTAAGCAGTGCTCCTCCACTGTTTTTGGTCCCAATGATGGCAAGTGTGCAGAAAATTAGCTGCCCCTGACTAGGAAGGTTTTGTTTAAGCTGATGCCTTCTAGTTCGGTGTAATGTGAAGCTTAAATCAAGACCCTGCACCAGTCCTTTACAATGTGACAAGAATCCTTCGGACTGGTAATATTTTTAGTCACTGTTTCAGCAGATTGCTTTCCTGGTTTTAGCAGGTTTTGCCTTCAAAATAGGGACGTGGTGGCGCTAGGGACGTGGTGGCCCTGCGGGCTAAACCGCAGAAGCCTGTGTTGCAGGGTCAGAAGACCAAGCAGTCGTAAGATCGAATCCATGCGACGGAGTGAGCACCCGTTGCTTGTCCCAGTTCCTCGCCAACCTAGTGGTTCGAAAGGATGCAAATGCAAGTAGATCAATAGGGACCACCTCGGTGGGAAGGTAACTGTTCCCTGTCTAAGTCGCACTGGCCATGTGACCACGGAAGATTGTCTTCGGACAATTGTCTTCGGACAAAAACGCTGGCTCTATGGCTTGGAAACGGGGATGAGCACCGCCCCCTAGAGTCGAACACGACTGGACAAAAATTGTCAAGGGGAACCTTTACCTTTACCTTACCTTCAAAATTGGTAGTATCCTTTGTGAAAGATTATTTTAAAAATAGTGTATGAAGGGGAAACTATTGAATAATAAGCAAAAAGCTGTATGGATAATAGGCAAGGAAATCATCATCCTCAAATGCTGTTTTATTTCATAAGAGCTTGTCTCTTTGTTCAGTTCAGGCTGATCAATTGTTTCTACCATATTTTGTATGTCCCATTTGGCAAGAAATTTTGTGATCCTGGTCTCTGGCGGATTATATGATTGGGACTTTAAAAGGGGATTGAAAATAAAACAGCCAACATTATATTGCCATTGTACGAAACGCTGGTAAGGCCGCACCTGGAGTATTGCGTATAGTTCATGTCATCACATCTCAAAAAATATACATTGGAACTGGAAAAGGTGCAGAAGAGAGCAATTAAAATGATGACTGGGCTGGGGCTCCTCCCTTATGAGAAAAGGCTACAGAGTTTGGGTCTCTTTAGTCTAGAGAAAAGGTGTCTGAGGGGGGCACATGATAGAGACGTATAAAATTATGTAAGGGATGGATAGAAGGAAGCTCTTTTCCCTCTCATGCAATCTCAGAACCAGGGAACATCCACTACAATGGAGTGTTGGAAGAGTGAGAACAGACCAAAGAAAAGATTTCTTGACATAGCGTGTTGTTAGCCTGTGGAACTCCTTGCCATAGGATGTGGGGATGGCATCTGGCCTAGATGCCTTGAAAAGGGGATTGGACAGATTCCTGGAGGAAAAGTCCATCGCGGGCGACAAGCCATGATGGGGATGTATAATCTCCAGGTTTAAAAGGAAGGGACCTCCAAATGCCAGATGCAGGGGAGGCAGATCAGGAGACAGGTATGTAGTTGTCTTGTGTGCTCCTAGAAGCATCTGGTGGGGCACTGGCAGATATAGGAAGCAGGACTAGATGAGTCCTTGACCTGATCCAGCAGGGTTCTTCCTATGTTCTTTTGAGTTACAGCTTGACATGTATGAAAAGATAAATGTGCAGCATTCTTGTGCAGTCATGTACAGTGGTGCCTGGCTTTACGATTGCCCCACACTACGACAAATCCGCTTAACAACAATCTTTTTGCGATCACTTCGGGAACCGATTCTTCGCAAAATGACGTTTTAGAACAGCTGACCAGCGGTTTCAAAATGGCCGCTGGGTAATTAAAATGGCTCCCCGCTATGTTTAGGGACAGATTCCTCGCTCTACAGGCAACGAAAATGGCTGCCGCATGGAGCATCTTCTCTGGACGGTGAGTTTTTACCCCATTGGAATGCATTGAACGGGTTTCAATGTGTTTCAATGGGTTTTTTTTTTTGCTTTACGATGTTTTTGCTTAACAGTGATTTTCCTGGAACAGATTATCATCGTTAAGCGAGGCACTACTGTAGTTCTTGCTGTTAAACTACAGGGTCATCCTAGTTTTAGAGGAGATAGCCATGTCAGTCTGTGCTAGCAAAAATAAAAACTACTATATTTTAATTTGAACTTTTGTGGGCAAGTCCTCTTCCTCAGTTCTGTATATAGCAGTCTTTAAAGTGCCACATCCCTTCACGGATTGCTGCC